CCCCAAAACCCCAAAACCCCAAAACCCCAAAACCCCAAAACCCCAAAACCCCTTTTGAATGAGCTGAGGTTGAAATTGAAGGTAATTTTATAGATTTCAGAGGAAGTAAAGATTTTAGCCATTTTTGATTGATCATATAAACTTTTGGAGGTGGCAAACAATCACTAAGAACTTGTAATCATATTTTACAAATAAGTGAACCTGAAATCTTAAATTCTCAAGATCTTATTTTATTTTTCACTTTTTAGCATAAATTGATTGAGATAATAATTGTGGATTACTCTAGCATTCTAGTGAACATAACATATTGCCAATTTCTTCAGAATCTCCTGAATTGTTCATTTTCTAAAATAAAACTTTTCTATTACCTCGATGGCTGAAGTCTCTGTGGGGATATAAGACAATGATTTGCCTTCTTGGTACAAGCTTGCCTTGTTTCTTAAATGGCTTCCTTGAACAGCATCCAAATTATTTCTTTGAATATTTTGTCCTAGTGAAAATTTCTTAAAATGGTCTTGTTTGTCTAAATTACGTCAAAAAAGACTGAGACTAAAACTTACCATTAAAATCTTCTTCTAATCCATTTTTAACCCCAAAAGAATCATCAAAGCCAATTTCTCAAGAGATTTGGTTTTGAGATGGCCCTTGATTCAACTCATGAATTTTGTACTGATCCTGAGAAGTTTCTACTCTTGAAATAAAATCTTTTGCGGCTTTGACTAATCTATCATTTTCTATCTCTAACTCGTCTTCGCTTTCACTGGAAGGGTCATAGTATTGATCTAAAGTTAAGATAAAGCTGTACCTTCACAATGAAACTCCAAAATTCTCTTAAGAGATTCACCAGGAACCATTTCAAGGCTTTTGTCATCTAAAATGAGAGAAAATTGTACCAATTAACAGAAGTTTATCTCCAGAATCTTTATATTTTAGAAATGTTCTGGAATCGTTTATGTATGATTTGCTTCTATTCGTGGCATCTAGGAGTAAACTTGGAACTCCAAAAGAATTTACTGCTTCTGTCTCTTCAATAGTCCCAAACCTATATTGTTTAGAATAATTCCTTGCTTAAGAAGAAATGGATCTTCTACATGATAGCTCTCCTCCTCACCAGAAATATCTAATTTCATATCTTGTACACCTTTATCCAACCCGAATTGGTCTGCAAATTTGACTTTAGTTCTCTGAGTATTACATTTAGTGCTTATCTTGCAACTCCTGATGTCTTGGCTTCCTTCAAAAGCGGTTGAAAATTTAGCTTCCTTGTGCCTATATTTGCATAACTTAGCCACCCAACTTCGCATTATACTCAATAGATCTAATTTATAAACTGTTTGCTAAATTCTGCAAACCAGCAAGCCTCAAGACTTACGAATAAAAGTCTTCTTCGAATAATTTCGAAGCTGGATTATAAGTCTTCTTGAACCTCTTCCTGTACTCACTGAAGCAGTCTAATGATGTCTATAAGATAGGTTAGCTTTTAAAGAGTCAGAGTGAAGGTGAAGGTGAAGTAAGATAACCTCCATGTTATTGTGCTTTCTATAAAGTTAGTTTTCTAGTCAGATTATATAAACCATGAAAAGTTTGCAAATGGCTTGATGTAAATATGAAAAATTCAAGATTATCATAAGAAATAGGGAATTAGCTTAAGTACTCACTTCATCTACATTCTTTTTAGTTTCACTCTTTCTACGCCTGATTCACTCAACGCTTTGAGTTGCACTATGAGACAGAGGTTATGAACAAATTTTTCTTTTAGTGTAATATTAACAACACAAATTTTTATGAATTTTTAAAGTTAGGGCCTGAAAAGTGAACAGCCACAGAAATAGCTAAGAGGGTTAAAATATCAAAGCCTAATCACTTTATAGATAACTACTAAGTCTCCTTAGAGTTAAACTAAGGGGTAAAGAAGTCTTTTTCCGATTTACTTTCAGTAATTCGTCTTAAAGACTTTATATTTCTCCTCTCCACTTCTAAGGATTTGATAAAAAGTAGGGATTAATAAATGGCTGAAGGGAATTGACTCATATTATATAAGAAGGCATTTTACTTTTCATATCTCTTCCCAATGCACTGGTTATTTCCCATTTTAATTATTATTCTTTTATTCTCTCAAAATTAGTAAAAATAAATGGGGTTTTGGGGTTTTGGGGTTTTGGGGTTTTGGGG